AAGGACCACTGGGGGAGGGGGAGTAAGGACCACTGGGAGAGGAGAGGGACGGGGAGTAAGAACCACTGGGGGAGGAAGGGGGGGAGTTAGGGCCACTGGGGAAGGGGGGTGAAGGAACACAGGGGGAGGGGGATGGGGAGTAAGGGCCACTGAGGGAGGTCCACTAAGGGGTTTGGGAGAGGGAGGACCACCAAAGGGGGGTAAGTAGGGAGGACCACCAAGGAGAGGCGAGGAGGGTAAGGACCACTAGGGGGGGGAGAAAGAGGATAATGACCACTGAGGGGAGGAGATTACCACTAAGGGGGTGGGGGAGGAGGGGAATGTCTACTAAGGGGTTTGGGAGAGGGAGGTCTACTGAGGGGAGGGATGGAGGACAACTAAGGGGGAGTGAGAAGACCACCAAGGGGGGGGGGACAACAGGGGGCCAAGGGAGAGCACTAAGGGACAGGAGGGAAGGGGAAATCACACTGACAGGAAGGAGACCATGAAAATTAAAAAACAAAGAGTTGTCCCTCCCCCAGTCCCCATCCCACCCCCACAAACCCTTTACACCACACACACACAATGATCCCCCACACACACACAGAAACATACAATGCATTCCTACTCACACACAGACACACCCGAAACACACAATGCATCCCTTACATTCACACAAACACTCAGATACAAAATGCATCTCTTACACAATCAATGCACCCCTTACAGACACACACTGCATTCAATTAAATACACAGAAACACACCTTGCACCCCTTACACACACACACCCAGAAACATACAATGCATTCCTTACACGCAAACACACACTGCATTCACTATACACACACTACATCCTTTACAGAAATTGGTATCCCTATACACTACATTCTATAAGAACACACACACATTGCATCCTCTACAATAACACATAACACATCCCCTACACACATACACTCCACTTCCTGTGAGAGAACTCATGGGTGGGCCATGTAGCTGGATTTATGGGTGGGCATTGTAGGCATACTCACGGTCAAGCCCTGGGGGCCCAAACCTTGAGCTCTGTAATGGGCCCTATGAAATGGAGCTGCTTCCTGTTCGTTAATTGTTGTGAGCACTGTTACAAACAGTCTCCAGAGAGCCTTTTCTACACTAGACCTGTGGAGCCAGACTGAGCCCATCATCAGCCTCTTGTCCTCATCTGGTGGTAAGTAGGCAATCCAATATATTATTAGTGGTACTAATCTCTAATTTACCTCACATTAAATGGATACTATAGTCACCAGAAGCACTACAGCATAATGTAGTGGTTCAGGTGTCTATAGCGTAGCCTGTGCCTGTAGGCTTTTTAATGTAAACACACTGTCTTTTCAGATAAAAGACACTTTGTGAAGACTGGCGTTGGCCCATATGGCAGAGCATATGGGCAGGGCATTGTGATGTCACATGATGGGCAGGACATATGGGGGGGGGGCAAATCTTTTTTTGCCTAGGGCGGCAAAAATCCTTGCACCGGCCCTG